ATCGAAATCTTTGATCCTGAAAATGACAAATACTGGGAAAATCATTTCTTTCTTGCAGTATCTCTCGAGACACCTGCAAATATTAGTTCTTTTCTTCGCAAAAGTAGATTGTGATGAACCGGTTCCACCGAGTTATTCATATTCTTCAGCAGTTCCACAAGGAATGTGTCCGCTTAGAATTAGAAGGACACAAAAGCTTGCCCTTGAAATGCAGAAATAGCCCGATGGTTTAATGCCAGTCTCGAAGTTTAACTGCTCCAGGAAGCTACCAGCTTTTATGACTGTTCGCTGCGGATGATGGAGCGTTCCGTGCAGCTGGATTTTTCGCACCGCTAGCCCGTTCTCCAGAAGCTGTTGAAGCGGGTAAGCGACAACAATTGTTGGAAAACCACTTATAAGACGGATATGAGCCATGCAGCCTTGTTGCTTGCCGAGAGAAAAAAAGAGGAAAAAAGGGCTGGCGCGTCACCATCCCCATCCCCTTTGTACGCCCCATCATCCGAAAGGGCAGGTGCTTACCATCTGGCTATCAGAGCAACCAACCTAAAAACCTACAAGTAACCATATAGACGGAATCACACCTAACCCCCTCTTTTCCTCGCATTAGGAAGGAGGGACTAGCATTAAGGAAAGCATAATGGTAGGCCTGATCCCATACGATGATTTATTCCTGTAGAGGAATGTTCAAGAAATCAAGACAGTGGTGTGAGATCTATGCTCTTCTCACACTCTCTAGAGAGGAACAGAATTATCACAAGAGTGCTGAGCTACGGCAAAAGTCAGACCAGACGGGACTCGAATTCCTATCTTCTTCCATGCGGTTGTGATCATAGCAGTTATCAAATTATGAGCATAATTTTTTCAAAAGTCGCAGAAATCACAATGCTCAAAAGGACTTACTCAAGTCTGTTTCCGTTGGGAACTGCGTTGGGTGGGAGATCGCCATCCACTCGGGACCACTCGACCTGCAAAAAGTTATCATTCTCGCCAAGTATGGTATACGTAACCGCCAGCATCCAACTACCTTAGATCCGGGAACGGAGTAGATCGGACAGGTGAAAGAAGCATCGGACTTTTCGTCGAATTTGACCACTTGAGCATCTGAATAGAAGGAGGGGTGATTTCCCAAGCATCTGAGTAGCTTGAAGTTCTAATGTCAGTGTGTAGAGTGAACTGCGCATATGAGGGTACTTTTTGAAACTAAGAGCGCGAAGTTATCATCTTACGGCCGAAAGGGGTGTTTCGGCGACGGCCACGCCCCGTGCCCACTCGCTTTGTTTATACCTTCAGTCATGATCCCAGCAAACGATGAGGTGTGTGACAGGGCGTGGACTGGAACGTTACAGAGAGCCTTTCCCACCAACGATGACATCCTGCGTTCACAACAATTAGCTTGAAAGGCTCGGCTGCTGCTCCGATGCCGACGCCCCGCGTCGCCACGTCCTAATCTATGACTGCACACAGTTGCCGCTTCTGTCTATCTAGATGAATTTAACAACCAAAACCCCTGTACAATAGGAAGCAAGCTTTGATTTTTGAGAAACTGGAAACTTAGTTGAGTCATCGTGAGTTTGTAAATTCGGCTGATGATGTATGCTTAAACGCGAGATCATTCTCAATTCCATGCTTTTGGGGGCGGAAAGAGGAACTGTAAGCAAGAGCAACTAATGGCAGAGACCTAAACAGGACCCTACTGTAACTTCGGTGAATTGCGATACTACGGCTATAAAAAATTTTCTTCTTCTCCATACTGGGTGATTGCTTGCCCATTTAAACGTAACGTCACACTCCCATCGATAACTTACGCATGAAGCTGTGGCTCTAGATATTTGAAATTTGATATCTAGAGGCTAGGAAGATTCTGCCAGTGATGAGAGAAGCAAAACGGCATTATCGTACTACTAATTTGCCTACTACTAATTTTGCGGCTTACGGTTATCTAGAAAGTAGAGAAGAGAACGCTCGGACGTGTTTTTGCATCATGATATTATACCGATCCTCCTCAATCCCCTTATCTTGGTACTTTAACCACTTTCTCATCACTTTACTATCTGCAATTTAAGATGATCTCATTGGCAAGTCAACTCGTCCTCAAAAGGATAAGAAATCATTGCGGTAGTTGGGACTGACGGATAACCGTTTCATGAGGGCGCTTCCTTTGCAGTACTGATGCGAAAAGGACGATCTCTAATACCTAGGAGGATGCCCTGTTCAAAGGAGAACTTCTGAGACGAACTGAATTCTCAAAAAGGTTCTAGCTAATTCATATAGAGCTAGGGCTCTTTTGAATCAGTGCGGGTTCCCCATTGGTGGGCCCCCACCCTTCCCACTCTAGAGAGAGGGCTAATCCTGTTGGAAGGGTATGGTTCAAAAGTTACTGGCACCCGATTGAAATGTAATTCCCCCTCGAGCGATAAAAAGTGAATGCATGGATGAGGTAAGTGCTTAGAAAATGCATTCCCAAAAGAACTATAGCCCACTGCTCTGTCCACTGTAGCCGACGCTGACGGCGGTATAGGCGCTTCCAATGACGACGCCATTATCGTCTTCGACGTTACATCTGTACACTCCGTAATCGTTCGATGGATCGGCGCCTTTTATGTGAAGTGTTGCTTCATTGCCAAGTTTTCGTACGATGTTTCCTCCTCGTAATAGTGCCCATTCGAAGTGTGCACCATTCTTAGCACCTAAATTGGGATAACAGTGGGGGCCGGAAACTGGAGAACTGTTTGAGATCAACGGGTGATTAGTACGAAAACCGCGCGAAATCGAAGAGTTAGAACGAGGTTACAACCAACAGTCACGCAACGTAAGAATCATTAGGCAGTTAGTGAAAAAAATCAAAAAGTTAGTGAAAAAAAGTTAGGAAAATGAATAAATTGTCGATAACGTAGCAAAGCAAATAGGGCCTGAAGTATGAACGTTCATTTCCTATAAAATGGAGAGGATGGATGAAAATGCTGGTTACGGTACCCTTCAAGGCGCCACCTGTGGTTTCCTATCGTTAATCCCTAGTGAACAGTGTGATGGAGTGAATGTGTTTGGTCGGCTGTCAGGTGGGCGTCTGGGCACCCAGCTCTTGTAGGAAGCACCCCGGAGGTATTTAGCAATTGAGAAGGAGGTCCTATTTGGCCTGGTAGATTTTGCCGGTTGTTGAGTTTTCGCTGCCATGCGCGTATATATAGTTGTTGTCGCTGCAGATGCAGGCACCTGTCCACTGGAGGTGGGTCTGGCGCGGCGGCGGGATGTTTCCCACCAATCACAGTCCTGTCAAATCGTGGCGCGCGTTCAGCGTCCCGATGGACAACGGGCTGAGCCGCCTCCAAACCGCACTCCATAACACTGCCGCCACCGCCTGCAGCCGGACAAACGCCTATTAATAAAATTGGCCCAATCCCAAATGAGCGTGTCGGATTGGGGTTGGCATTGCACAGACCTTGTTTTTCGCTAATTTTGTCGCTTGCCCGCCTCAACGATTTCGTGGACAACGGGATGGCCCCGTGCCAAATCCAGCCCTTCTCCATCCCGTGACGCCCCAGTGTTCCCAGCGAAGTTGATTCTACAGAGTCTCTCAAACTGGCGGCGCAGGGAGAGCTAACAATCTCTGATAATTGTCGATCATGTACCACCTCCCTCTTCCCCCCCTCAAGAGTGTATGTGGGGCAAGGGGGGAGCGGTGGTCTACTGGAAGAAAAGTCCAGGGGAGGGGGCATATTTTGCAAAATCTCTCTAAAACTGATCTGTTAGTATCAGCATCGTGAGCGAACTAGCAAAAAAATTTTTCAAGTAGAGCGCACAAAAACTGGATGGTCCGCCTATTCCTGGTTAGGAAGCTAGAGGAATTTTGGTCTAGGCTCTTAACAGACTTTCTCCTATGATGCTTTGCACAGATGACAAACTACAATAGAAGGGAGCAGGGAATTTCTGTGTGGGACGGACCAGCCAATAGAATAACCAAAACGTTAGGAACGTCAGTAGTAAACTTAGACAGTTCAACCAAGGTGTTTAGTATCCTGAAATTGTTATGACACGGTTAGCCTCCATCTTTCACACGACACACTGACATGAATTATGTTAGTCGCCAATTTCTACGAAGGGGCGGAGCGAGGCGCAGTAAGTGGCTCTATGTTTTGACAACCAATCATAGTCGCAGATTGCGAATTCGGCGCATCCGCGAAAAGGGTTTGGCACGCACCGACATGGATAATGGAGGGTCAAATATCGACGCAATTGCGAAAAGGGTGGTGACGTTCGATAGCGTGAGTCGACAAAACGGGAGAATAGACAAATCGCTACTCTTCCGACCATTGTCCACGTAATTCGTCGATTCTCCCGATTGTCATCGTATACTTTGTCCCGCCATTGCCAGATTCTGACTGTGCAGGCTCGCCCCACCCTCCACTATCGATCAACGTACGGCAAAATGTTTTCGCGGATGCGAATGCCTGGCGTAGGGTAAGCAGTTCTTAAATCAAACGCGTCGCTCATGCCCGCATGCAAACACACTCGGGCCTGCCCCACCCCTTCAAAGAGAGTGGAGTGTACGTTACACTGCAAAGACCGACCCTCCGTTCTGATGGCATTTCGTGATTGTGGAGGGCCGATCGAAGCGTAACCAGTACAGACCAATACGGTGTCAAAGAAAAGGAACCGAGTAGTGAGTGCTGGAGAACGACGAGAGTGTTAACCGAATGAGGATAGCCGTAGTTAGTGGATTCATCGGTGCAATAGTAGATTCCACGTTCACACACATCAACACTGTGTAGATGAAGGAATTGTGTTGATCCGACCATTAAGGCATCAATGAGATTTTCAGTACGCCACCAAATTACACGCGATTTTGGATCTGAAGCAAGGGTTAATGTTATTAGAAAAGCATCAACACGGACTTTTGAGATTAGTGACGAGAACGAACTTAGTTTAGCAACCACACAATTGAATACTTACCTTCGACACCACACTTGAGCACGATGGACTCTCCTTGCGATACAATTCGCACACGAGGCGGCTCGATCTCGACCTGAATGTCCAAGTTTTGGACCAGAGGGAAAGAATTTGTGGGCAAAATGGAGCTCATCGTGGCGACTGTGCCGCATTGCTGCATTAACTCAACGACAGGCGGCGGCACACAATGCATCCAAAATTTCGGTGTACGTTTATTGCGCGGTGTACGCCTCGTGCACTGCTCAAAGGCATATGGCACGATAATTTGGTACTCGGTCTAAAATGCTAGCAGGAGGTTGCATAGTGGGGAAATGGCGAAAAACGAAGTGAAACGGTCAAAAACCTGGAAGAAAAGCCTTCGTTCTCCATGACTCAGAAAGCAATTTCGGACGAGTTTCCCGTAGGCATCTTGCCAATAACCGCTACGGTAGGTACGGCTGCACGTATGTACTCATATATCCATGCAGCACCGCAGCCGCTTCATACCAATCCCTTCGCTTCATATTTTACTTAGCAAATGAAGCAATACGAGCATCAGGTACGGTCGTCCATTTGTGGCGGGCGGGCGCGGGCGTCCGGGTCGGTATGTTGCAGCTTGATAGGGCCTCATAAGGGTACCTTCTTTGGGAAAGGTATTACAGCCCATCGTCCGTGGCTCAAACAGCCTTCCGGCAACTGTACTCACTCTAGCGGAAGCTCGGTTGGGCGGAAGTTGATAGTTCCATGAGTACGGTTAGTCCCACGCGCTGGGGCATTTTGCACTTTCGTTGTTTTACTAGTTCTGGTTTACAAGTCTGCAAGCTCGTCAAGCCATCATGGTAAAACCTGCCAACTCGAGAAGAGACTGTCTAGATGGGTTGACACGTCGATGGGAAGTCGAAAGTGCAAAATGCCCCCCGTCGCCAAACAGCGCCCCATGCGCTTAATTTCACGCATAGTTTAATCAGTATACCGCCTATTATCGTAAACTTGGCATAGTAGCGCCGCCGCGTGACATCGCAAGTATCTCTACCCCGATTTCTCTAGTCAGTAAAAACTTGCTTACCTTGACTTCTTCTGTGTCATCGGTGGCTGGATACACTTGAACGGAACTTGACGCAATCAACTCGTTGTTACGGTAGCCGCGACATTCGTACTCGCCAGCATATGAGTTCTGTAGAAAAGATCCAACTCATTAGTCTACTACTTGAGCTGCCCGTTACTGCTCAGGTACCTGTGTTGGACTGGTTGCACTCAACAACCAGTCCAACAAGGGACCTGACCACAGTAACCAACAATGACTCATCAATGTGAAGTGGAGGTGGGTTGACTGTCCTTAGAGGATACCCTGGTCTGAGCATATACCTTGTTTCTAGGGTGCAAAGCGAATTTATTTACAGCTGATATTGTCGCAATCCGGCAGGGTTCGGAGGGGTGGGAAAAGCCTACCCGCGGCGATCTCTACCACTGGTTGTTTACTATTTGCCACTATTGGTAGAAAGCGCAGGTGGGCTCATTTCACGCCCTGCTGGCAGAGCAGCAGCAGCATTCCAACCCAATCACTTGGTCACTTTGTCCCCATGTTCGTAGTATGGGCGGAGCCGAGCCTACGATTGTCGATTATCCCGGATGTCACGTAAGGCTATATTTCCAAGAAAGAACAAACCTTGAAGTTAGGGAAGTGCAAAAGTCCGGGTTCGTTGTGCTCCTCTACGTCGGTTGGAAGCTGGTCGTCCACCTGATTAGAAGCCATCTAGAGAGTTTAACAAGTGAGAACGTTAATCCAGTAA